TTTTTAGTGGATATTTATCTACCCAGTATGTACTAGAAGAGGTTTTCATTTTCCTATCAATTATGGAAATACTAACATGGAAACAGTGACCAATGTCTTCATCCTTTTCCTGTAGGCAAGGGTGCTAAAGGGCAGAGCAGGTGAAGGAGGTCCAAGGAGAGTCAGAGGGGAGGCATCAGAATTTGAGTCTTCACGGTGGAACTTGCCTCTAGCAGGGGGATGAGGTTGAGGTTGTGTAACTGCATCTAGGACCCCTCTTCATAGAGCCATATGTTTGTAATGCAGAAGAAATGCTAGCAAATTCTAATCTGGAAATGCAGAGTTTCTTTTAAAGAAAAATCTAGATGGAGTGAATAAATTCCATAGCATCTGAGAGTTTGATGCTATGTTAGTATTTTATTTTTAATACTGAGTTTGTGCTCAGTTTAAAATGGACATAAATGATTCTTGAACGAGAGTTCTTCCTTTTTTGTAATCAGGTTCCCTTGGTATTTACTCAGATGTATTTTCCAAAATGTCTGAGAATTTTAGCTGAAAGGTAAAAGGTCCCTCTTTATGGTTTGTCATTGCCTCATAAAAACTGCTCTAGTGAGCTTCTACTTTGCATCTGTGGTAGTTCTGAGATGAAACTCAGTTAGTGATACATGGCAAAAACGTATGAAACTTATAAGGGAATTATATCAAATGGCATAACTCAGGGGAAAAATTACACATTTCCATATAGAAGTTTATCAGTAATGATCAAATTTATTATAAAAATGGTATAATCGGTTTTGACATTTATATGTCCCTATATGCATATAAAATCTGTATTGTGCAAGTATTTTAGAAAGAAAGGAATTATTGGGGATTCAACTGTAAACTTTAATTCCATTGCTTTTGCTTACATTGTGTCCATGAAAATTGTTCGGCGATTTGATATCATATGCTTTTTCTATTGAGATTTTTTAGTTTTCAGTAAAGTGTTTTATTACAGAGAATTATGGGTTTTCTAAGAAAACCAGGAACTTAATACCCAACTAAGTACTTGTTTAAGATGCCTGTGATAATACAAAAGTAATAGTTCTTTCTAAATATAAATGGCTTAAGAAAATAAGGGAGAGGTTTTTGAAGCTATATTTTAAGATGTATTTTAAAAGGTCTAATTAAGGAAAAAGTCCTATCCATTAGAAAAAAAAAATTTTTATTTACCATATACATTAAGTTATAAATGATCATTCTAAAAGTGATTTTTAGCTGTGTGTTTTTCTTTTACTTATATATTAAGATATTGTATTTTACATGATTGCAAATATATTTAATGCAGTTATTCAAATAAGCCCAATGTTTCCATATTCTAAAAATATGGAAACTATAAAAAACATTTTGACTTAATTTAATTAGCATTGAACACAATTTAAATATGGATATCTTAAATATGAACAGCCTGGGGAGAATAAATTATCCAAATACTATAAAATGAAGGAAAAAATCCTACAGCTGGTGAAGAAAATTAAAGCAATAAGAAGCAAGAATAAATAACTGCATCTCATAATTTTTATTTCCTGGAGTCTAAGGACTGCAGTGAAATTCTGTCATTCTTACTGGGGAGTTCCAACCTTCTCATGCATGGACTGCAAGCAGCAGCATGCCAAGTGGCCATTTTTGAAATTTTGAGGAGAGTTCATTTTTTTGTGTATTTTCAGATAACTACCACTAGCAGGGTGTCAGTTTTTCTTACAGAGACTAAGCAATTTTAGATAATTAATAATAATCGCGTTTGTTAGCAAGTTGAAACACTTGCACACCATGTTAAAAGCTTGATTCTAGATCATTTCTGCTGTTACTACCATTTTTCATGTGTTCTCGATTTTCTGCTCACTTGGGTTTAGGTCAGTGGTTCTCAGAATCTACTGTGCACCAGAATGACACAAAGAGCTTATTGAAACATTGCTGAGCCACCAGCAGAGTTTCTGATTCAGTAGGTCTGGGTGGGGCCTGAGGATCTTCATTTCTAACAAACTCTGGAAGATGCTGATGGGTTTGGCCCAAAACTACATTTGGAGATCTGCTGGTTTAGGTGTATTTCAAGAGAGCTATATGATTCTGGAATAAGAAGACCAGGAACAGTTTAACATAGTATTAGTTACATAAATATGTCTTTATAAAGGTGGTGGACTTGGTTTGAAGAAGAAAAAAAAAGAGAAAAAGACAAGTATGATACAGGAAAACAAGTTGAGAGAGTAAAAAAAAGGAACAGAAGACAGAGAGGCAGAATGGCAGTGGGGAGACACAAGAAAACAATGAGACGGAAAGACAGAGAGTGGCCCATAAACCTATAGAGAGTGGAAAAAGCATTGGGAGAAAGAGAAAGTCAAAGAGGTGGGAAAAAAATAAACCATATGGATAGATACATTGCTAACCTTATTTTTGTTCCAATTAAATATTGTTTTCTGAAAAGCTAAGCCCATGCTTGTCATCAGAACTTAATTCTAAGTATGAAGAAATAGGCCTTAATAGTTTCTTCTAGTGTTATGTTCTCTCTATTAAAATTTACCAGGATTCAGAGCAACAAACATAATTAAGAGACAAATATACACATCTACATAATTTATCTTTCCTCAAAATAAACTATAGTTACATTTTCAAGAGATATGGGAAAGCTTACCCACCTTCTTACTATCCCAGAATCAATAGGATACACACATAAAACTACAAAATCAAGAGTGTTGAAAATTATCATTCCTTCAAATTTCAGCTACTGTTTCAATAAGATAAGCAAATATACAAATCATGGTTGTTCCTGGAAATATTTAAATTCCTTGAGACAGGAATTCCTAAAGTCATACAGTGGAGACTCTGAGTCAGTGAGAGTTAACATTAATGTTTGTAGGAAAAGCAATTAAAATAGCAACTGTGGTAGAATTTGTGCAATTGCTACCCTCCCTCTACCCAAGCCCCTTGCATTGGGACTTTGCAGCTCCTCTCAGCAGGAGAAGAGGTTGATTTCACTTAAAACAGGTTGGGCCTTGTGATTTGCTTTAGCAAGGATGCGGTGGAACTGGCAGAGTGCCATTGCTGAACCTAGGCTTCAAGAGGCTTCGCAGACTTCCACTGCACTCCTGGGTGCCATGTCACTACCATGAGAACAAGCCTGGCATAGCCTGCAGGAGGACCACAGCTGAGTTACCTGGTTGTCTCAGCCAAGGTCACAGGCATGACAACAAAGCTGATACATAGATAACTGCAGGTGCATGAGAAAGTCCAACTGAGATGAAGGCTGCACGGCTGATCTCAGACGAACCCAGCCAGAATTGCTAGTTAAATAAATGGTTACTACTTCTTAAGTCACTAAGTTAGTGATATAGTTACAGCTAACTATATTGAATGCTATACTAACATTTATTGAGTATCAATTATATGTTAGACAGTCTGCTAAGCATCTTGGATACATTATCTCATTGAATCCTCTTAACAACCCATGGATATACACACTCTTGCTATCTCCATGTTGTATAAAGAAAACAGTCATTTTTATACTTCTCATAGCCAGAATTTATGCTTAGGCCTCCCGAGCCTGATCTCTACACTCCAACGCTGTTTTGCCTCTACCTGAATTTGTTAGTTGGTGAATCTTGAGAAACTTATATAACTTTAAGGATGATTACTTCTGTTACTAGTCTCTTAAAACTTAGCACTAAGGTAAGACTTCCCAAAACTTTTTCACTGAGAAACTACTTTTGGAGAAGAATTTGCTGCTTTCATCCGGTTCATTTTCCTGTTTCCTGCCACTGTTTCCATTGGTGTGGAATTCCCAAGTCACCCCCTTCCCCCATCTGAATTGATAACAAGTTGAGGGGCAAGTGGCTGGCAGTGGGCAGAACACTTATCTCAGTTTTTTTTTTTTTTAAATCGTGTAGTATTAACAAGATGGTATCTATATTTAAAGAAGAGACTATATATACATAGCCATTTAAATCAAAGGTAATTGTAGCTTAAGCTCACCAGTTTAGATGGCTTACTCGTGAGTTACTGCCACCACCTAGAGAGTTGTTCTAACGCTTAAATTCTTCAAGGTGGTGACTGAAAAAGTCTATAATACTTGAAGGAGTGATAACAGCAAGGTCTCTTTAGTGTATCGGTTATTTACACCACACTTAGAATTGTTGTACATGTCTTTGTCTCCAAAAATAGTACCTTATTTCTCCAGGAGTAAGAAATCTCATTATTTTACATTATTAACCAAAGCTCATTTTTTTCCAGTGAGTCAGATCCAGCCAATTTAAGTTCTTTTATAAATTTGTGTTTTTGAGGCTTCAGACATTTGAACAAATCTTAACTGAAAGCCTAGTTTTCCCAGATATTCTAACTGGCCAGAAGCCTTCCGTGTTGGCTTTATAGGGTCCTAAATATGGTTGTTGGTTAAATAGTAGGTAAGCTGGGCTTATTGCTTTTTTTCTCTTTTTAGCAGTCCCATTTTTCCTTCATAATTGTAGTAAGTAAAAGACAAAAAATGAGCAATAGCGGTAACACTTAAATAGTGCCTGCTGTATGCCTGCACTCTTAATCTTTTACACTTAATCTCTCAGTATAGGTACAATTTTTGAACCCTTTTCCAACATGAGGAAACTGAGGCAAAGAGAGGATAAGAAATATTCTCAAGTTTATATAATTGGTTATTGTTTTACCCGGGTTCAAAACAGCTCTGGCTCCACCAGAGACCGAATTCTCAATTTCATTCTGCATGTAAGATATTAACCCAGAAGGTTTGCAGGTTAAAAATTTCAGTATATGCACAATCACCACTTTCCTGAAATATTGGCTGTGACACCAACACATAGAAAAGAATGGATATTTTTAAGCTAATGAAATAAATGTAAGATTTCCTTAAGTGACATATATTTTGTATTTCAGCGTAGTTTTCTCTGTTCCCATTTCTCTTTTTGTTACAAGAGGTCTCGGTGACTTCACCCATGGTCCCTTTGCCCCGTTCTTGCTGTGACTACAGGCGCTTCACTCACCACAGTTGTCCTCGTCAGCCTGGTTCCCGCAGTCGTCCACACCGTTACAGTGGAGAAGCTGAGGCAAGCACTTGGTGATATTCCCACAGGGGAAGTAGCCAAGGGAGCACTTGACATCCTGTCCACTCCCCTGAGAAACTGTGATGAAGAAAGGGGAGAAAAGGTTCATATAAAAGCATTACAAAAAGTGGGTTTCCTTCAGAATTCCGTAATCATTTGGTCTTCTCATCCTGGACTATGTAACCCTCCACATGGCAGCCTCATCTTGCCTACTAGCCTGACACCAACTACTTTCCAAGAACCTTCACTCCAATACAATGTTCTTTTCCACATTCTCAAAAGATGCCAGGATTCTCCTCCCTTTGCCTTGTGTATACTGTTTCCTACCCGGAATATCCTTCCAATTCCCTTTTTTGAATGAAATGTCTGTCCATACTTTACAGTTTAGCTCTTCTCCTTCATAAAGTTTTCAGCCAAATATTTTAAAAATCAGGAATTTATTGCATTCTCAAATTCAAGGCTGCTCTGGTACCAGAGGAGGAAGGAGACAGAGGGTATCAGGAATGTGTGTGCCGTGTGCTCATTCATATATTGGATAGTTCCTGAGTGTGAGGCCCCGTGCATATGCAGTGAATGAGACAGAAAGAGAGTTCCTGCTCTTTTTAGACTGGCTTCTTTCACTTAGTAACATGCATTTAAGTTTCCTCCATTTCTTTCATGGCTTAATACCTCATTTATTTTTAGTGCTGAATTATATTCTGTTGTCTGAATGAACCATAATTTATTTATCCATTCACCTACTAAATGACATCTTGGTTGTGCCCATGTTTTGGCAACTATGAATAAAGCTGCTATAAACATCCGTACGCAAGTTTTTGTGTGAACATAGTTAACTATGCCATTTTAAAACCTCAGATTTATGTAATTTCAAAGGTTAGTAGACTGTAAGCATAATTTTGTTGCTTATTATCTTTACCAAGTTTGTACATTTTTGAAACTTTCTAGAATGATTGTCAATTATATAGAAACAAAAACAGAATAGTTTGAACAGTCAGTAAAGCTTATTATGTAAAAATGGATTTGTTGCCTATCATTAAAACATGAAAAGAATAAAAGTATTTATTTCCTTTGTAAGATACAGTGGATCATTTTAATAACAGAACAAGTGGTATTCTCATAGAGAAGAAATTTATCTGTCAGATTTTGACTGTATTTAGTTGTTTTAGAGCATGTAATTTGATGAAAGATATAGTCAAATCTATGTAATAATGAGCTATGTTGTAAATAGTGTTCTCAGTTGTGAAATTATCTGAAAATTATTTATCAAACTTTTTCAATAAATTGATCAAAACACAGTCAAAATAAAAAATTTGTATACCACAGGACATCACTGGTAGACCATCACGCCTGTCAGAGGCCTCAAGTGTACACATAAATAAATTGATCTGAGTTGAGACTGACTTTTTATACATTTATTAAAAGATTATCAGAAAAATTCTTTGATGAATTGTCAGTCTTCAGACATAGTTACTGTTTGAAGATGTTTTAACTAGACATAACTGCCTGTGTTTTCATGCTGCTGTTTCGAAAATTCTTTTCTGAGTAACTTACTTTCATCAATATTATGCTTTTATGTCCTGTCTTTTAAATTTACATTTAGAAGCAGATATATCTTCAATAATTGTGTCATGAAATTAGTCCTCCGTTTTCATAACATTATGATTCAGCGGATATGGTTTAAACCTTAAATAGTAAGTGATATTTTTAAAATAACTTTTTTATTTTCAAATTATCTCAAACTTAAATAGAAGTTGCAAATGCAGTATAAAGAATGATTCTCCTCCCTCAAACCATTTGACAGTGAGTTCCTGACCAGATGCTTCATTGCCTCTGAAAATGTTAGTGTGTATTTCCCATAAGCAAGGACATTTTCCTGAATAACCACACTACCATCATCAAAATCAGAAAATTAGCATTGATACCTTACTATCATTTAAACCTCAGAATGCATTCAAGTCTCACATATTATCCCAAAAAGTCCTTCATAGTAAAAGGATCTAATTTGCAATCATTCCTTGCGTTTAATCATCACATTTCTTTAGTTCCCTTTGGTCTGGCATAGTTTCTACGTTTTTCCCTATCTTTTATGACTTTTGAAAATTGCAGGTTAATTATCTTTCCTTTACACTATGGTTTGTCATGGAACTGTCTTTTAGAATAGCAATATCATATTATAATAGCATGAATAAATAAAAAAATGATATCGAGTATCCCTGGAAGAGTACACCCACATAGTCATTGGAGAAATAGTTCACAGCGGGGCAAGTAAACATGCTGTAGGCATGAAACCCAACTATCCTGCTGCACCTGAGTGCTGTTTTTATTGTGTGTTAACCTAAATATTTTAACGGTTGAAAGTTCTAAAGGGTGAGAGAAAAGAATGTATTTCAATGTGAATTATTTAACTGTCCTCTTTAGACTGACACTTCTCATACTTTCTCTGTGGCTTGGGTGTCAATGGAGGTTCACCGTTTCTACCTCCGAGCAGCTTCCAGCCTCCCTGGCTGCAGCATTTTTTGGCTTTGGATTTCTTGCAATCTCTGTTTCTTAGATAATTCTCATGCAGAGTAACTTAGCCTTTTACCAAACATATGTACAGCCATACTTAGAAGTTCATATCTCCTTGTA